GGATGCCCACGGGAGGGCAGGCAGAGACACGCTTTAAATGCTTGAGAGTTGCTCGGCTGGGAATGAAGAAACAAGAAGGCATTCTGCAGCCATCCTGTCCAGAAGTCTTTTTTTTGGTTGTTTTTTAAGTTTAGTGTTAATTTTTAACATAATCTTGTACCAGTAGTAATGAAGTCTGGCCCCAAGAGGCACCGGCTTTATATAGCTGCAGATGAGATCGTGCTGTACACGTGATTCTGCAACTTGTCCTTGCTCACTCACCCTGGACATCGTGTGCAGCCCAGCCGATAAGACATCTCGTCCGTTTGTGCGGCAGCGTGTCCATTGTCTAGAGATGTACCCCAGCTTATGACGTTTGAACTCCTTGTTAACTGCTCTTGTAACGAATGTGATCTGAACCTACTTGAATTTATTATAACTTCTGAGAATGTATATATAATTATGAAATTTCGATAGCTGATTTTGTTTTGTCCTCAGAAAGCATTGATTATACCCCACCAGGAGTTGTATGAGTATTCATGCACTCTTCCAACACAGAATTAGCCCCCCGCCCAAGTTGACAAGAAACTAACAAAACTGATTTCTTGAGTCACTTTTCTCTGATTTTTATGATGTAAGACTTTTCAGACTTTCAAAGTTGGATAACGTTTTAGGGATAACATTTATTTTATGACTTTGAGCCCAGTTCTTTTTTTTTACTTAAAAAGGTTTTCCTTTGGATTGTTTTTGTTGCCCCCCAAGTTTTCTGATTCCTTTCTGTAAATTGTATATTTTAGTGCCAGATTTTAAAAAAATGCTCATTTCAATGGATATTTCCAAAACTTAAATGAACTAAATGCAACCTAAGCACAATGCAGTGCTTGCTCATGGACAGATCTGTGAATTTACAACTTATATACTAAGGTATACTCTTACTTGTCTGTCATTTTGCCCGTACTTTGGTGGCTTGTGCGTTACTGGATTGTCCGTGAAGCAATCCAGTGGGTGAAAACAGTAGTGAAGATGGTGCAGGACAAGGCAGTGTGGTGTTCTTTTGTATGTAGTGATGCTGAGTCAAAGCCAAGGTCCCCGGCACCTAGCAACAATACTTCAGTATAAACGTGGTGGGGATAGAAATAGAGGTGCTCTGCTAGCCAGAAGGTTGTAAGTTCAAATGCACACAGAGGCACTTCGGAAGACAGGCTGAAGATTACTCCGGAAAGGTCACCGTCCTGAAAACCCGGGCTCAAAAAGTAAATAATTCAACCACGTGTATAGAATGCAGCAAACGACCCCAGGAATTATCTGGCTCGTGTCTTAAATTTTAAGTTGTCAGAGTTGGGTCATAAGAAGAAACGTAGTTGTTTGTTTCTTTTTTAATATAACAATACAATTGCAGCACAGTGGGAAAATGTGAACTTGTAACATGTTCTCCTTACCATCTCTTACTGTCTTTCATATTTTCAGGTCCGAGAAGCCCAATTGGGATTATCATGCTGAAATACAAGCATTTGGACATCGATTACAGGAAACCTTTTCCTTGGATCTTCTTAAGACTGCATTTGTTAATGACTGCTACATTAAAAGTGAAGAGGCCAGGCGCCAAAAACTTGGGATAGAGAAAGAAGCCGTTCTTCTGAATCTTAAAGATAATCAAGAACTATCCAAACAAGGGGCATCTTTTTCACAAACTTGCCTGACACAGTTCCTTGAAGATGCCTTCCCAGACATGCCCACGGAGGGCATCAGCAGTCTCGTTGGCTTTCTCACTGGCGAGGAAGTCGTGTGCCATGTGGCTAGAAACTTGGCTGTGGAGCAGTTAACCCTAAGTGCAGAATTCCCAGTCCCCCCACCGGTCTTGAAGCAGACTTTCTTTGCAGTGGTTGGTGCCCTGCTGCAGAGCAGCGGGCCCCGGAGGGCTGCCCTCTTCATCAGGGTAGGTCATTTTTGCGAAGTGGGCACATGTTTAAAAAAGAAATTGTGATTCACCTCTTTGTTATATCAACTTTTAAATTGCATGTGTATTTTCTGCCTCCCCAAACCTTTTGTAATTGTGAATTTCAGGCCTCCTAAAGCCTTTTGCCACTGTGATTTAAGTGGTGTAATTGCTAAATGCATACTATATGGATAGGGTCTTAATTGAGTCCAACATTTGGGGTGAATTCCCACTGTGAGTTCATCAGGACTGCATGCCAAGAATAGTGCTTATATTATAGACCCTCAGGAGATGTTTGATGAATGAATGAGGCCAAAGGCACAGTGTCAGATCCTAGTGTGGTCAGGGAGCATCGTGCTCTTGAGTACCAGCTGCTGGTCTACTCTTCCAAATGATAAAATCAGACTTCTAAGCCCCTAGGATATAAAACACACCCACAGCCACTGAGTCGATTCTGAAACATAGTGACCTTGTAGAACAGAATAGAACTTCCCCTTTGGATTTCTGAGACTTTTATGGCACTAAACAGCCTTGTCTTTAGCCCATGAAGTGACTTCTGGATTAGAACCACTGACCTGGTGGTTATCAGCTCAATGCAGGGCTCCTGTGATGTATGCCCATCAAAAAAAGAGAAACATACTCATGCTGCCAACTCATAGGGAGAAAGATGAGACTTTCTGCTCCATGAAGATGTGTAGGCTCGGATCCCCACGTGAGGCAATACTACTCTGTCCTAGAGGGTCACTGTACATCAGAATCCCTCAATGGCACTGAGTGAGTGCGTGACCCCTCTCTTGCAGGTGGCTTATGCCAGCATCTTGCCTTTAGACTCACCCGGGTAGGTGGGCTGACCGCCAAGGATACACCCCTCATCTCAGAATCCAGGGGCGGGTATGGACCCTCAGAAGCCTTCAAGGCTTAAGGTGAAAGGGCACACTCTCCGTCCCCCAGCCCCACCCAGAGTGAATCACAGCACATATTTCAAAGAAATTCTTACAGAGTCGTCTCTATACTCTGGGTAGTTTAGAACTGTAACCAGATCAGAGGCATCTCTTTGAGATTTGCCACAAAAGAAGTTAGAAGACCCATTTTGGAAATTTTTATCATCAGCGCAGTGGTTCTCAATCTGGGTTGCAACCCCTTTGGGGGTTGAATGACCCTTTCACAGGGGTCGCCCGATTCATAACAGTAGCAAAATTACAGTTATGAAGTAGCAACAAAAATAATTTTGTGATTGGGGGTCACCACAACATGAGGAACTGTATTAAGGGGTCGCGGCCTTAGGAAGGTTGAGAACCACTGACTGCGTGAATTTGTTGACAGTCCCAAGTACCATTAGTAGGCATGCTCCAAACCAAACTCATTGTCTTTGAGCAGAGTGTACCATCTCTGTCCTGGCGGGTCTCCTAGGCTGCAGTCTTTATAGGAGCAGATCCGTAGGACTTTTCTCTCGTGGACCCCTGGTGGGTTCAAAGCCGCCAATTTTCTAGTAAGCAGCTGAGCACTTAGCCACTGAGCAAGCCACCAGGGCTCCTTTTTTTGATCAATAGTTCAAAGATGTGATTCCCTAATCCAGAGTTTCGCTGTCTCCTTTTACACATCTCCCATAGCAGAATTAACTGGTTTGAACAGTCTCCACATGGAACTAATATTTGGATGTCTGCTCTGGGTCAGGCACTGGTGTGCTCCAGCCAGAGGCCAAAGAGGGCGCGCTTCCTTCCAGAGCTCATTAAGTATGTGGCATGTGATCATTCACATAGCACACAGGTGGCCCCTGCCCCAAAAGGAGCCTTTGGGAAAGAAGTATTCACAAAAGCTGTGGAATGACAAATACTTTGGTGTGACTGGGGCCTGTTACTTGGAGTAAGGAGGGGGTGATTGAGGGATGAATCTGTGTCTTAAGGGTCCATGTACATAAAGTCTTCTAAGCTTGGAGTGTGGCCTATCAACGGTAGCATCAGCATCCCTGGATAACCTGTTGGCAATGCAGGTCTCAGACAGGATCTCAGAATCAAGAATCAGAACCTCTAGGCCCAGGGTCCCGGGGTCTGTGGAGTAGCGAGATCTCAGGTGACTCTTTTGCATTGGGAATTAGAGCCGCACTGTTAACCTCAGTCCATTCTGTATTTGTTTGATGATTCTGTAATAGATGGAAAAGAATGCCTTTTTCCTCTCGGGGGGACGAGGTTGGACATGGTCAACCCATACCTCGTTGAAAGGAGTAGTGATGAATTCGTGACAGGTGCCCGTAGGAGAAACAATAGAAGGGGATGTAGGTAATCCCCCTGAATAAATGAGATCTCTTTCAGTATTCCTACTACTTTCTTAGGCACTGGAACAGACTTTCTCTTCTCTGTAGTGGGTTATCGTATATTGTAAATGACAGTCCAGGGAGACATACTTATATACCATATATACTCGAGTATAAGCCAAGGCACCTTTTTTTACCACAAAAAAACTGGGGGGCTTTTTCAGGGCTTTTTTCAGCATTAAAAATGTGCTGAAAAAACTCGGCTTATGTCTCATAAGGTGTCTTTATTGCTGTACATTAAAAAATCCAAAATCCCCAACTGAGAATGGACTGAAAAAGAATTTTAACTAGTGATGCTGAAATAGCTTTATTGTTGTTCTTGAGGGAGTGTTTAATGAAATTGACTCTATTTCATGAAATTAAAGGATCTCTTAAAATTTCTCCTGCATCCTGTTATCATATCTATATTTGTTAACATGGGCTAATTACAATACATTCATCGCTGTGAAAATCTTAGTTTCTGCATTTGTGTACAGCACAGATGGACTTTTAAAATTGATAAAATTAATATCCTTCTGTTGCTTTGAATGTTTTTTGAACTCTTTCAAAGTATTCTCGAATCATAAGCAATCTTGGAGCTAATTATTCTCTACATCAGCGGTTCTCACCCTGGGGGGGGGTGTCGAACAACCCTTTCACAGGGGTCGCCCGATTCATCACAGTAGCAAAATTACAGTTAAAAGTAGTAACGAAAACAATTTTATGGTTGCGGGGTCACCACCACATGAGGAACTGTGTTAAAGGGTCGCGGCATGAGAAGGTTGAGAAGCACTGCTCTAAATGATTTTAAAAAATACGAACCTCGATAATGAAGTTCTAATGTCTAGAGACCCTACGTGATTTTTACATGAGTTTTGGCCACAAGTTAAACCAGCTTTAAAAAATTTATTTTCCTCCACTGATAAAATAGATATCTAAATTGTAAAATAGGGTTTGGACTTCTGTAGAATTTTGGTGTGGATGTTGCTGGAAATGGCCAGTTTTGTCAGACAAGTACGTTTTTATTCAATGTCTTTTGTACTAAGTCAATAAACATTTTTATTACAAGAAGAAACAATATAAAAAAGAATAGTGAATGCCTTTCTCTTTCCCGTTAAGTTTTTCATTTGTGTTAAAAGTAGACTTTGAATCATGGTTCTACTTTTCTTGATACTAATTTGAAAGTACATATTCTGCTTTTATATTACAGGACTTTTTAATAACGCAGTTGACTGGCAAAGAGCTCTTTGAGATTTGGAAGCTCGTAGACCCCATGGGGCTTCTGGTGGAAGAGTTGAAGAAAAGGAAGATTTCTGCCCCCGAATCCAGATTGACTCGGCAGTCCGGAAGCAGCACAGCTGTGCCTTTGTATTTTGTCGGTTTATACTGGTTAGTGAAATGTCTTTGTGTTGATGGACAGCCTGGGAAATAGACTTCCCTGAGTTCCTTAATATAGCCCGTAATCAAATTCAAAAGGATTGTTTTTAATTCCCTTCACCCCCATGGTTATTTATTTACCACTTCCTTGCTGAATGTCATGCTTAGGAGAAGGTGAGGAATCCGTAGGTTTCGCTAACCATCTGTTCACTGCAGAGCTGTGGGGAGTACGTGTTAACCGCAGCTTTTCTGTAGAAAGAATGAGTTTGGGATCACACATTTACCAGATGTAACCCCAAGCCAAGCTGTCAACAGCCTCAGCTGAGCCCAGAACTAAAAATGGCTCCCTGTCCACTAGAATATCGAAATCAACCAGTTGAGAGCTTTTTTGCTGTTGGTGAAAAGCAAGCCTGCCCCTCGATGGATTTCAGTGGGCTTCAAGTGTCGCATAGAAACATCGGCTGTGAGACACATTGTGGGCCCCGGTGCTTCCAGCAAGTAGTTCAGTGTAAACTGCAGCACGTCCGCTCCGTCCTTTAAACTAGCAGGCTTTTATTGTTGTTTCAAGGGCACATCGTTTCCTCCCTTGCAGAAACATTTCTACATTTTCAAAGAGGAATTTGTTAGTTATCGGTGAAGCAGAGGAATTCTCTTTATTTTTTTACTTAGTTATCCTCGGAGAACACTGATAGTCAGCATTCAGTAAGTTCATACTGTGCTACCTTAGTAGCTCCTGAAAAGAAATGAGTGTGAATTATTACTGTGCAAAATAAATTTGTTCCCCCGTGTCCCCCTTTTTAAGATGTATAGCTCTTAATGTGCAGTGTAGCAGGGTTACATCGTGGTTTTCCAGCTTAGAGGTCATACCTGAAAGGCACTTCCTTCTGCCCCCCAACCAGATATTTATTCAAGTTGTATCACAGATTCCAAACCAAACACAGAAACCACCACCACCAACCCCACCACAAAACAACGAACTAATCAGAGTTCCTAGGAATATTTACAATAACTTCCTATTCTTAGAACAAAATATTTTGTTTGTCCTTTCAGTTCTTCCATCAGCAATTAAAAACAAAGCAAAATAGCAGCAAACATACCTACATCGGCGTGCCTTGCTTTTGTGATAAAAAAAATAGTGGGTGTGATGAGTTTGTTTATTCTTTTTATAAATGCAAATTCTCTATAAAATCTGTGTATAAGGAATTTGCAACCGAACTGGATGAAACCCAAAGGATACTCTGCTCAGACGCCCTGTGCTGTTTCTGGTGGTCCTTGTACCCAGTAAGATGCAGAAGGCATTCCTGGTTCTTGTGCCGGGTTGGTGCTGCACCATGTAACTAAAGGCCTCTGCTCGTTTCTTGCTAGTGATAAGAAGTTGATTGCAGAAGGACCTGGGGAAACCGTGCTGGTGGCAGAGGAAGAAGCCGCTCGAGTGGCACTCCGGACACTGTTTGGATTCACGGAGAACAGGCGCCCCTGGGACTACTCCAGGCCGCAAGAAAAACAGAGTGGAGACGTCCATCGCTGCCAGCTAACGGGCCAGCCAAGATGTGGAGCTTAGCGTTGCTGAGGGAGACCAGGAGGCAAACATCAATGATGTCCTGAGCTAGACGTGTTTTACGTTGTAAAGAAATATGTCTGTTTCTTCATCTGCTGTTCTTAAATAAATGCTAATCATGTCACTCTGGATCTGAATCGACTCCAGAACAAACCAGTGTGTTTTG